TTTGCTATCTTTCTTTTTTTTTGGTCTGTTTTTAAAATTCTACAGGATTATTACTAGGAGGCAAAAAATGTTTAGAATGGAAAGAAATTTGAAGAGAGAAAACAAACTAAGAGACACTCAAGACACCTGCAAGTTATCTAAGAATATCTAAATAGAATTACTAAATTTTATAGTTTGCTTAGAGCATTAGGAAGATGATAAAGGTCTTACATACTATAGAGTGTTGTCTCTGGTCTCTGTACTCTTTTTAAATGTCAATTAGTGTAAATAGCATCTGAACTGCTAATAAATCTTTTAACAAATTCAGATACCCAGAAAAATGAGCACTTTTAGAATTTCCGTAGCTAATAGTTCAGTAATAGAAATGTTTTAACTGAATGGACAGAATCAGTCCTAACATTTGTATATATGTCCTTTATTTGAATTGGAACTAGACTCAGAAGTGATTCATTTTCCATTAGCTGATGTAGAAATCTGGTTTCTCCATACTATCTACAAGTGAAGATGAAGATTACTTCTCTAAAAGTATTCATATTTCCAGTGTTTCTTTTAACAAAGTATGCCACTTTTAAATAATTACAAAATAAAATTATAAAATTATTGTTTTAATTTTAAATCATAAGTTAATATTTATATGACAATATTGTGTATATGTCGCTGTCTTTGTAATTTAAACATATTGCTGCCAGGGATATGGGTAACAGACATATCACTCTTAGAACTTTCTAGTAGAGATGGCTTAGTTCGTAGTTGCTCATTTCATCTTTCTTGGTCTTAATCCTAAAACCCTTTAAATGGCTGGCATGGTTATGACTTTATTGTGGTAACCTTGGAGATGTGAGCCCTCTTATGATCAAAAACAGAAGAAAAATATATCGTTCACACTGATGCCAGGCCTACCTTCATTCCCTCCCTTAATCACTTTTTTTCTCATTCAGCTCAGATCATCCTGCACTTGAAAAATGAAGTTTTACCACCATCAAAACTATCATTATTTAACAAGTGAAGATCAACAGAAAAATTCAAGTAGCTTTGCAAATACTAGTTGATACTCAGTGAAATCACATCACTATTTTTATGCCTGAATCCATACCCTTGTGATTTATGTTTAATTACAGAAGCCTATTGCCTTGCAGCAATTTTGTTATTATAACACTAATTAATTGGTTACTACTCCTTATTATAACTCAGTAATACCTGTGGTTGTTTGGCTCCTCTATCCTGACAAAGTTCACTGGAAATTGCCCTCAGATTTTATAAACTGGGGATTTCTTAATTAGATGAAAGTTCACTATTGAAGATGGAATATTATGTAAGATAGAGGCAGGGTAACATCCATGAGATACAGAAATACTTTGTTAGCCCTCCTATAGATTGCCTATTGTAGTCTTTCTGTACATTTCAATACTCTGTATTAAAAAATTACAACTTCAGCACTTTTGATAGCAAAAATTGGCATCTTTCAATTCTGTATAGTATGTGATAATACGTGTACAGACTGAGAAGGCAGGAATATAATGTAAAGAAATTGAAATCTCTCATTGCCGGTATACTCTAAAACATGCTTGATGCCTTGTCAGCATCATTACCCGCACTGACTCTGTATGTATATCTGTATATGCACTATGATTCAAAAATATGCAAGAAATTGTTTTTCCGTGTTAAGAACAAATGCCATTAGAAGATGTCTCCTTAATTGTATTGTCAGAGTACTGCTAAGTCAAGGGTGACTGTTCTGTTAACCTAATTTTGTGTTTTCACATGGAAATGTGATTGGAATTGGACTCCATTTTTCTGTGAGTTGAGAGTAGGAGCATAAGTCAGTTTGAAAGCGTTTACAAGGTTGTTTTAGAACGTAGTGTAGTGCTTATATTTGTGAAGGAAATTGGCACAAAGCAATGGAAAGACACTGGATTCTAAGGGCTGAAAGGTGTTCTACTTTTTGGCTGTTTTTCCCATGTTGTAGACAAATAACATGCCTTAGACTGATGTAGGATTTAGGTCCTCTTTTTAACTTTGATGTTAGGCTAACTCCGATTTTTTTTTTTTTTTTTCTGGAAACCAAGTAGAATTAGGGATGGGAACACAAATGCTTTTATTCTGGCTCCTGTTTTTGTTTTTTTCCAAGAAGCTTCTTGGAACAAATCAATAGGAATTAAAAGGAAAGCATGGCCAACCCAATTACAGGGGATAAATGTAAGCTTGTGAAAGCAAGCACCACACCGTGTTTCTGTCTCCCTAGCACCTAGCACAGTGCTGTGTACCTTGGCAGATGCTAGATAAATGTGTGTTGAATGAATGTGCCCATGAAGTCACAAAGATGCCACATGTTAGTATATAAGTGAGAGCTGACTCCGCAGTGCTCCCTGGAGAAGCAACATGAGTGACCGAAGAAGAGTGGGGCCTTTCGCCTTTGCCTGGATATAGGGGTGCTCTTCTACTGTAACTGGGTATGGAAAAACTCTGGCTTTATGGTATCCCGTTAGGTTCTTTCCATTTGAAGTAGTCTTAAAATCAAAATACCAAATATTTTAAAGCAACAAAGGTTGCATAATTAGCAGAGATTTTAGTAAAATGTTAGAAATCAAACTATAAGAAAATACAAGCTCTTTATTTTGTGTCTTGGGTATATGTCATTATTTTAAATTCCACACTCCCTTATTTAATCACTTTGGTAAGTGCCTTTGATGTTTTGAGATGTATAGTGGGAGATGAGCAAATGTAAATGTCATGTGCCCTATTCCCTAGCTTCTCAATTCCTCATAACCATTTTTACCAGTGTTGCAAAGTTTGGTCCTTTGTGTTAATATCAGAAATGTATTTGTAGCCCCTCCACAGTGAACAGTGAAATAAACTATTTCATAGAAAACAAAAATTAAGTACTTTGGCTTATTCAATGTGTGTTACCTGTTGCCTTAGCTTAAAAGCATAGCTTATTAAACAGTAACATCTAGATAATCACTCCTGATTTAATCTATCCTACTTTCCCAATAAAATGCGTGGAAGAAAAATAAGAAAAAGAAAAGGTATTCATTCACCAAAAATTATGCCTGATACTGATGAAATCTAAGAGGAATTTCTCAGTGATTTTAACTCAATAAAGCAATGTCTTTCCCTCATTCAGTAGTGTCGGCAGAAGACGAAGGCAGGCAATTTTCTCTTAAACTTACATGCCCCAATCAGAAAACCTGATCCTTTCCCTCAGCTGCCTGGTGTTTTAGGCAACCAGAGAAATGTTCATTGCCTCTAGCCTCCCTCCACCCGCACACTAAACTCTTTTTTATTTTTGAGACAGGATCTTATTCTGTCTCCCAGGCTGAAGTACAGTGGCGTGATCACAACTCACTGCAGCCTCCAACTCCTGGGTTCAAGCAACCCTCCCCTCAGTTCTCCCAAGTGGCTGGGACTACCGGCATGCACCACCATGCCCAGCTAATTTTTTAAAATTTTTGTATAGATGGAGTCTCACTATGTTGCCCAGGCAGTTCTCAAATTCCTAGATTCATGCCATCCTTCTGCCCCCGTGTCCCAAAGTGCCAGGATTACAGGTGTGAGCCACCACATCAGGTCTTTATTGTCTTAATACTACAAAAAGACGCGGGAGGGGAGATGACATTGGGGGCACATTGTACCCTGAGATAGTCTTCACCAATAAAGTGCTATAGTCAGAAATGGAGAAGCAGCCCGGTAAGTGCACTCTGAGAATGACGGTGTTTAATACAATCCACCATTCAACAGATGAGAGAACCGGCAGGAAGATTAGATCCTACCTAAATCCAACAGAGTCGTACTTTAGTGCGCACCTATCACACACTAAAAACTGCTGTGGAGCAGTAACCATCAGCCTGCTTTTCAGCTGTCAGTATAAGAAAGGATTCTGACTAGTAAGCAAAGCTACAACTGAACAGTCAGTGGTGTAGTTACCCTATTTATTGAGTAATTGGGCCAGGTCTCATCTGAGGATGTCTAAAAGGATACACATGGATCTATGAGTAACACTGTAAAAACATGGAAAAGAACATCATCCTGATCACTGCCAGCAACACACTGTCTTCCTCAAACTCCAACCATCTCTTCTCTCCACTTCCCCCCAGCCCCTTTGCCAACTTCTACTATACGTATACACACACATCTACACATCCATACTTTTTAAAGAGACAAGGTCTCACTCTGTCATGTAAGCTGGAGTGCTTTGGTGCAGTCATAGCCGACTGCAGCCTTGAACTCCCAAGTGATCCTCCTGCCTCAGC